GAGAAGCTGAGCTGATTGACTTTCTTCTGCTCTGCCTTTTTGGCTTGGTTTCTGGCATGATCAGATGGATCCATGCTTGTTTTTTATACCCTGCTTCCTTTTCTAGATGCTCTTGATCTTATCTCTAGCATTTCCCCAACTAGATAGATTCATAAAGAATTTATTGATCACTCTGCCCTGGCACTGTGTTAAACTCAGGGGACACAAATATAGGAATTTCAGTTAAGCTTACTGGTCTGTAGTTTGCATACCCTGTTCTCTTCCCTTTTTTGAAAATCAGAACATTTGCCCTTCTCTGGGTCTGTTATCCCTCCTGTATTCCATCTTTCAAATATCAGTTATCTGGAAAGCAACTGGACCTCTTCCCAAAGAAGAACAGTTTGTCATTTCTTTACTTGTCTTAATAATAATTTCATCTTTCAGAAGATGAAAGAAATATTGGAGGAGGGGATGGTTTCAGAACTGGGTGTCATATTTTGGGACAGACATTGATAAGGAGGAAATTAGCTATGATAATTAAGGGCTTCAAAATCATGACATATATAGATCAGAATTGGGGATGCTTAGCCTATGGAAGAGAAGACTTAGGGATACAGGATAATAATTGTCTTCAAATACTTGAAGACCAGTTGTGTGGAAGAGAAATTAAGACTTGTTTTGTTTGACCCTATAGGACGATGATGGAAGCTGCATAGAGGAAGATTTAGGGTTGACCTAAAGAAAAACTTTCCAACAATTAGAGCTGCTTGAAAAATGGCATATGCTGCCCCAGAAGGCCAGGGTCGTAGGGTCATAAGAGCTAGAGCTGTAAGGGAGCATAGAGGCCATTGAGTGTGACCCCCTCATTTTACATATTAAAAAACTGAAATATGGAGAGGTTAGTGACTTGCTCCAGGTCACATAGGTAATATGTCTGAGATGGGATTTGAACGTAGGTCTTACTGACATCAAATCCACCGCCCTGTCTACTAGGCCAAGCTGCCTTTGCAGAGGTCTTCAATCAAAGGTGGAATGACCACTTGTTGGATATTTTATAGAGGGGATTTTTCCAAAATGAGTTAGACTAGATGGCTTTTGAGGTACCTTGCAACTAAGAGATTCTGTGATTATATGAATGCCAAATTTCCTTTGCAGTCATTTCAGTCCATAAACCAGAATAAATATATTTGAAGGCCAGAGGTCAAAAGACTACTTTTCTGTCCAACTTCTCACTTCAGGCAGATTTCACTATGAATGAAGAACAATATTAAGTCTTCCCTGTCCTCCCCTCTGCCCAGTTATCCCTGTTTCTTTCCTCTTTTTTTCTTTCTTTCTTTCTTCCTTTTTTTTTCTTTTTTTTTTTTTTTTGGTGAGGCAATCTGACTTAAGTGACTTGCCCGGGGTCACGTGGCTAGTAGATATCAAAGTATCTGAGACCGGATTTGAACTCAGGTCCTCCTGACTGCAAGGCCGGAGCTCTATCCACTGCGACACCTAGCTGCCCCTCTTTCCTCTTTCTTAGTAGAATCTGTTTTCTATTCAAAGGGGTTTTTCCTCTCAAAATTTTTTCCCTACATCTGTAACTAGTGCTAGATTTGTATGTAATGTACATTCCTTTCCTTCCTTATCAAGTCTTTTATATATTTTCTTTGCTGTTTATAATGTGGTTGTTGGTGACTACTATTAATCGTGTTGTATCATGGTGTATGAAGAGTGGGTCATGGAACATCTTATTAGTAATAATACTAATTAAGATTTATAATCTAAATTCATTAGCTGAATTATTATACCCATAATAGCTATCATAATACAGTATGATATATTAATTTAATAATATATGATATTTATATATGTATTATAAACTATGGTTTACAATTTCAAGATGTTTTAACATCCATTATCCCATTTAATCTTTACAACTTTCTATGGTGATAGTAACACACCAGTTTTTTTTATAGATGAGAAAATTGGGGTTGAGGTTAAGTGACTTGCCCAAATTTCTATTTTTTTTATTAATTTATTTTAATTTATCATCAATCACTTCCATAAACTTTTGAGTTTTAAATTTTTCTCCCCCTCCCTTTCTGTCTCCCTCCTCAAGATGGCGCACAATCTGATATAGGCTATTCATTTACATTCCTATTAAACATATTTTCACATTAGTGATGTTGTAAAGAAGAATTAGAACCAATAAGAGGAACCACAAGAAAGAGAAAACAAACCAAAACCAAACAAGAAAAAAATAGCATATAGTATGCTTTGATCTGCATTCAAACTCTATAGTTCTTTCTTTGGATGTGGATAGCATTTTCCATTATGAGACCTTTGGAGATGTCTTAGATCCTTGCTTTGTTGAGAAGGGCTAAGTCTATCAATATTAGTCATCGCACAAAGTGGCTGTTACTGTGTACGGTGTTCTCCTAGTTCTGCTCACTTCACTCAGCATCAGTTCATACAAGTCTTTCTAGGTTTTTCTGAAGTCAGCCTGTTCATCATTTCTTATAGCACAATAGTATTCCATTACATTCATATACCTCAACTTGTTCAGCCATTCCCCAGGTGATGGGCATCCTCTCAATTTCCACTTCTTTGCCACCACAAAAAGAGCTGCTATAAATATTTTTGTACATGTGAGTCCTTTTCCCACTTGTATGATCTCTTTGGGATATAGCCCTAGAAGTGCTATTGCTGGGTCAAAGGGTAAACCCATTTTTATAGCCCTTTGGGCATAGTTCCAAATTGCTCTCCAAAATGTTTGGATCATTTCACACAACTCCACCAACAATGCATTAGTGTTCCAATTTTCCCACATCTTCTCCAACATTTGTCATTTTCCTGTATTGTCATGTTGGCCAATCTGATAGGTGTGATGTGGTACCTCAGAATTGTTTTGATTTGCATTTCTCTAATCAATAGTGATTTAGAGCATTTTTTCATATGACTATAGATGGCTTTAATTTCTTCATCTGAGAGCTGCCTGTTCATATCCTTTGACCATTTATCAATTGGGGAATGACTTGCATTCTTATAAATTTGGCTTCTCTATATATTTTAGAAATGAGACCCTTATCAGACCAAGGTCGTGTTAGTAGTGAGTGGTGTCACTGGGAATATCTTGGTCATTTTGCTAGTGAAAGGAGTCCAGTACTCCATTCACAATACCTGCTGTTGACCTTCCAAAAAGATGTCATGCCTTATATAGCAGATATAGTCCCCATTCACAGGGGCTTGAAGGACTAAGTTGAGATCCTTTTTTTTTTTCCCCAGCAAGGGAACGGGGTGTCATACAATTTTATTTGACTTCTTTATCTTTCATGAAATACTAAGCTGGAGAACTGCTTCAGAAGCAATTGCTAGCCCTCATGTTGGTTGATAAGGGTCTAAAAGATCAACTATAGCTACTGTGTCTCCTATCTTTCACCTGTGCAGCTGATCAAACAATAGTCTGCTGTCATGGAAACAGCTGTCATGTTTTGTACAACATTCTGTCTAACCTGAGGAGGTTATGAACCACAGTAACAATTGGACACTTCTGAAACATCTTATTTATGTACAGATTCTCTCCTTTGGGAAATTTGGAAGACTGAAAGAGGAATAGAATTAGTGGAATGTTTTTCAAGAGTTTTCAAAGGTCTTAAAATAAGCTTAAAAAACTAGTTCTCTGAGCCCAGTTCTAAAAGCAGATAAATTCCAAATCTGCTACATATGGTAAGGCTTTCCTCCCGTCCTCTGATCTCTTTGCATTTTCTCTCTCAATTTATTTTAACATCCCCCTTGCATGGTCTTGCCTTTCTAAAAAGTTAATTCAGGCTTTCTTACTAGCTCCTGGCATGAGAATCAGCAGGGTTTCTGGACCTAATTTACTTTATTTTTCTTCTATCTTTCCTTTCTTTGCTCCCTCTAACCCCCTCCCCCAATCTTTCCAGACTGCCCCTGTCTCCCAATCACAATGTTCATATGAGCTACTGTGGCAAGTAGCTTTAGCGACATGTCTGGGACAGTGGTGATTTGGAACTATTTTTGGCTTGTACGTTTAGATTAGAAATTCTCTCAAAGCTATAACCAGTAGTTCTTGAGCCAGTGGGTCATTTTCTTTTTTTTTTCTTTTGGCGGGCTGGGTGAAGGGGAAATGGGATAGGAGGATGGAAGGAGTGCTGATACAGGAAGACTCTACTCTTGCTGAATTTATATGAGAAGAAAAGTTATCCCTCAGAGAGTTCAGTCTGTGGCTTCATAGCACAGCCATTGATTCTTGATCCCTCCACTACCTGGGAGGAGATGGAGTTATGTGAGAAAAAGAGCCTGAATGAAGGGAGCTTTAGTTTTGGGACTCGAGATGACTATCAGGGTCTGAGTGAAGTAACAGGGAGTTGTCTACATATGCTGTAGCGAGCCAGGATACTGACTGTTGGAGACTAGTTAGGACTGGCATGGAGAGAAAGTGCGTCCATGTCGGTGCACTGGTCTCTCTATCATAGTTATAGATCTACATTCTCTTTTCTCAGTGATCTGAGTGTGCTTTTCCCTTCAGCTCCTCCCCACTTTCTGTCCCTAATACACACATTATACACTTTGTCTCAATGGCAATTGGCAGGGAGCAAGTAGAGGGCTATTTGCCATAATTATATCTAGGGTAGAACTGTGAAATTCCAACACAGGGTGTGCCAAAAGTTGTAATGCAGTTTTAAGAGATCAGGGCTTAAAACTGTACTGAGACTTTTGGGACACTCTGTATAGCACTTCTAAGCACAATGACCTCCATGGTAGTCTCCTTGTGGTTCTCACTGAACAAAATGACCTTTCAAATACATTTTAAAAACATTCTAAGGGTACTCTGAAGATTGCTGAACTGATCATCAGTACTAAGCAAGGAGAACTAATTTGGAGTCAGAATATTTTAATAAGCCGCTTAGAAATCCTAACCCACTAATATGTAATAACTGGAAGTGTAATCATTTCTGGTCTTTGTGGGATCCTTGTCTCATCCTTTCTTTTTTTGTTTCCTCCTGATTGCCTTATAGATTCTTTCCCCATGGTCTTGAATGTTTGACTTCATGGGATGAGGTTCTGGCTATTTGAAGCCAACAGAAAGCCAGGCCAGGTGATTGAGGACAAAGTGTCTATGTGGGTCATCTGGTGCTGCCAAAACGAGAAACAGACAGACCTAGCTGAAGCAAAGGTAAGAGTTTTCATTTCTGTGTCCATTTGCATCCCATAGGATGCTTAAGGATTTGAGTAGGCCATTGTCTCAGGTTAGGGAGAGGGAATAGTAACTAATTGGGGCTCAATGTAAAAGGAATTAATAATTGTTTTGGTGAATTAAAGCTATTTTGCAGTTTTCCTTGCCTAGAAAAGTGTGAGGTAGGTTCTTTAGTGGCCAGTCTGACAATACATAGGCTGACTCTTTTTTTTATTCTCCAATGCAACTGGGAAGGCCAAAACAAGTAGTTTGGGGCACAGCTGAACAACTCATTTGTTCTTCCTTGGTAAGAGAAAATCGTGAAAAATTGAAGGGGGAACCCCCAAAGGAATACAGAGCCTAAGGTGAAGGCTGAAGGAGAAAAAACCCCCAGCAAAATGAGAACTATGAAAGGTACACAGGCATTTAGATGAGTGCTTGACATTTTTATACTTAACCACATTGTTAAGTTCCAGGCCTTCTTCCCCCTTACTACTTCAACAAGTCTTCTTGGGCCCCCAAGTTGGTTCTACTGGCTTGGCAAAGATTAAATACTTAAAGTTACTGTAAGGTCCCCTATTACTGAAGCTTCATCATTTTTTACAAAATACTCTACTCTGTATTGTTTACAGCATTATGAAGTATAATAAAGCTGAAGCCACATTTGTCAAAGTGCATGCACACAGCCTTTTAAAAAAATTCTGTACCTGTAATAAATATATCTTGCTGCTTAATTTATAGCATTTGGTAACTTCAAGCAACTCCTCTCTCATTGACTTATGACTTATACAGACTCCTTTTCTCCTTAAGGTGTTTGAGGGAAGGTACTTTCAGTCAGATCTTCTGGCTATTTTCCTAGTCTTCCCAGGAAACTAGCAAGGGGTTGTTGTTGTTGTTTAGTCGTGTCTGACTCTTCATGAAAACCCCATTTGGAGTTTTCTTGGCAAAGATACTGGAATGGTTTGCCGTTTCCTTCTCCAGTTCATTTTACAGAGGAGGAAACTGAGGCAAACTGGGGTTAAGTAAGACTTGCCTAGGGTCACAGAGCTAGTAAGTGTCTGAGGCCAGATTTGAACTCAAGCAGTTAAATGCAAACAAATAACTAATTGGATGAAAACAAGTTGTGGGGTATTTTGTGGAGGAGATGTGTGTGTGTGTGTGTGTGTGTGTGTGTGTGTGTGTGTGTGTGTGT